TTCCACTAAGGTCTTAAAGTGTAACTTCATATGGTGAATTTTGCAATTTGAAATGCACTCGTCATCTGAGCTCCATTTAAATAGACCTTCCACTGAGGTTTCTTTAGAACATCTTTAATTTGTGATTAATAAATTAAAATTCGACTGTCACTTGATCTTCTTGTGAGGTTGCTCAAATGAATAACCAGTCAACTCGAAAGCCTTAGTCATGTTGGATTATAGCTATCAAGACTCCAACACTTGCCCGAATTGCCTCTGAGGTCGTTTGAACAAGCGACCGACGAACTCGAAAGCCTTAGTCATGTCGAGTTTTTTCCATCAAGGCTGTCAAACTTGCACAAACTGCCTCTGATGTCATTCGATAAGCAACCCGCCAGCTCGAAATCCTTAGTCATGCAAGGTTTTCACCATCAAGGCTCCAACACTTGCCTGACCTGTCTCTGAGGTCATTCAAACAAGTGATAGGCCAGCCCAATAGTCTTAGTCATGCTCGGTTTTTGTCTTTAACAGTTGCTCGACCTGCTTCTGAGGTCGTTCGAACAAGCAATCAACCATCTCGAAGGCTTTAGTCATACCAGGTTTTATCTTCACGACTTTAACATTCGCCAACACTCTCTTTGAGGTCGTTCAAACAAATGATCGGCCACCTCGAAAACCATAATCATGTCAGATTTTATCTAACTCTATCTTGACCTACCACTTTGGTCAATGCTAATACCTCAAGCACTTTCAATATCTTTAGCCAAAACAACTCATATTATTCATTAATAACAAAAAATAAGAAAATTACATAAAGCAAAAAATTTAGGCATAACATTTTTTGAGATTCATCACATTCCATGACCTTGACAATGACCTCCTTTGCACATCCTTCAATGAGTAAGCTCATTCTGCATGGACTCACTCGACTGTCTATGGTCCTTCCCAGTTTGGCTCGAGCTTTTCTACATGCTTCAGCACATCGACATTACGTTTCCTTCTTTGAGTTCCTTTAATATGTGAGCTCTCCAATCTCTAACCTCATTTCAGCTACTTCAAATGCCCTTTTTTCTATATGCAATAGCGGCACACTCATGCTCTTACAATCGACCAAGTTTCGAACTATCTTAAATAATAAATCAACTCAACTATTCTCCCCCCAAGGTATCTGCACTAGCTTGAAAGAGCTAAAATCCTTCTGCACATTCTAGAACTCTTCCACGTATTTTTTCAATTAATCATCCATTATTTCAAACCCACCTTGTAGCTGCCTGACCACAAGCTGCTAGTCAAAGTGAATTTTCACAAGTCGAGCTCCTCCAACAATATTTAACTACAATCCTTTTAACAATGCTTCATAATCAGCTTCATTATTAGAGACTTAAAACACCAATCTAGTTGCAAATTCAAAGTTGTCTCCTTTTGGCACCGGATCATCTACAAAGACTTGACATATTCCCTCGACCTCGGTTTCTGTTCCTTCTTTGATGAAATCTGCGATAACCTGAGCCTTAATAACTCTTCAAGGTTCATACTCAATAGAACATTCACTGAGCTCGACTGCCCACTTGACCATCCAACCTGAAATCATAGGTCGACACAACGTCTCTCCTAAAGGCAGATTTGTCCTCAATGAACCTTGTGAGTTAAAAAGTATAGCCTTAACTTCTGTACCATAACGACTATCGCTAGGAAATCTTTCTAGATCTCAAAGTACCTTGTTACAGCCCTATGCATAACCCTACTCACATAATATAGGGGAAATTGCACGCTTTTGTTTTCCTTGAGCAGCACCGAGGTCACTGCTACCTGCTCGATTTGAAATATTGAGTATCGTATCTTCTTCTTGATTTGGCTTGGCAACAACGGTAAGTGGGTCAGAATGACCTTTAGCTCCTCGAATGTGACCTGCGTTTCATCAGTCCGTACAAATTCAACACTCTTCTTCAAGGTTTTGAATAATGGGTTGCTTATTTCGACCACCTTGTAGATGAACCTGCTCAATCCCGCGATCCTTCCTGTTAGCACCTGAACCTCCTTTATGTTCTTGGGGGGTCTCATCTCAAGAACAACTCGTATCTTCTCAGGATTGACCTCGATCCCCCTTTTAGTCACCATATACCCTCGAAACTTCCCCGATTTTACTCCGAACATGCACTTGGTCGGATTTAACTTCATTCCAAATTTTCTCAAAGTTTCAAAGGTTTCCCCAAGGTCCGCGACATGATCGACCTTCAGCTTGTTGTTAACCAACATGTCGTCTGATAAGGTCCAAGATGAATGACTCCGGTCCCTCACAAGGTCTCCATCGGTGTGCGTGGCAGGTCGATTGGTGTTGTTCAGTCCATGCACTCGAGTTTGCCGGTACCTGCAAAGTCATTATTGCCGAGTAGAGAGAGAGTTGAGAGCAATAAATGTAGCAACGAAAATAAAATGAGAGCTTACCTACTGTTCTAGCATTTAACGTATATATAGCGTTTAATTATACGGATTACCTTCTTACTTCGGTATCTATCGGCCTAGTGTAGGCTGGTCGATACTGGGATATAGGGGTCGACACTAGGTTCACCTCACTGCTGTCTTGCGGTCCGCCTGAGTGGGTCGACACCCCCTCGACCCATTCGACTGTGCACATCGACACTCGAACCGACCCTTAACGGTCCTTAATATCGGCCAAGGGTAGATGTGTTCTACCCTCCAAGCCATGGGTCTATGTATTCTACCCTCTAGGTCATGGGTCTATGTGTTCTACCCTTTGGGCCATGGGTCTATGTGTTTTACCCTTCGGGCCATGGGTCTATGTATTCTACCCTTCAGGTCATGAGTCTATGTGTTCTACCCTTCGGGCCATGGGTCTATGTGTTCTACCCTGTGTTATACCCTTCGGGCCATGGGTCTATGTGTTCTACCCTTCGGGCTATGGGTCTATGTGTTCTACCATTCGGGCCATTGGTCTATGTGTTTTACCCTCTAGGCCATGGGTCTACGCGTTCTACCCTCCGGGCCAAGGGTCCATGTGTTCGACCTTATGAGTCGATTGATTCTCCGTCCCTTTTCGACCCTGGCTCAATCCCATGGTCCCTTCGACCCCGATTCTATAGGTCCTTATCCTGTTGAGTCGAGTCGGTATTAATGTCCATATCATCATCGATGTAAACCGTCATGTTTTGACCTAAGTATTATTTGAAATTTTTTTCAACCAGCCTATGGTAGGTGGCACTGACATTCTTCAGACCAAATGACATTACCACATAGAAATAAGTTCCCTTTTTGTAAAAAAGCTCACTTTTTTTCTATCCTCCTTAGCTAGTGGAATTTGATGATAACCTTGAGACGCACTCATCAAGCTCAGGAGCTCGCACCCCGTTGTAGATTCAACAAGTTGGTCGATCCTGGGGAGATATGACCTAAACATTTAAAGACTTAATTTTCTCAATGTTTAATTGAGTTTAATAATGAACTAGTACGACACTTGTGTACTACACGGGTTATTTGAAAAAAAAAATATAAAACATAAAATAATAGAAAAAACACATTGTTGTATAACTATTTCAATCCTTTAAAATATATTAGAAAGATCATGTAATATTCTATAACTATTTCAATATATTTTTATAGATATTCTAAAAGATTTAAATAATTTATTTACCATGGTTGGATTGAAAATATATAATATGCAAGTGGCTATATATGTGTCCAATTTATTTTTGTAAAATTATAGTATTTTCTTATTTAAACTATATAAAAAAGTTATTTTTTACATTAATTATATAAATAAAATAATATATAAAGCTAAATTTTTTATTTTGGTATTTCGTGAATTACGTCTAATTTTTTTTGTTATAATATTAAGTAAAAAAATCCTATTTATTTTTTATTTTGTTATTTCGCGAATTATGTCTAAATTTTTTATTATAATATTAAGCAAAAAATCCTATTATGTGTTTTTTTGAGGCAATAGTGCCATGGAACAAGAACAACAACCTTAAAAAAATAATGTTGACAAAATCGTGGTCGTAATACATAAAAAAAGATAGCATTAGTCCTCCTTGGCCATGGAACAACAACCTAAAAAAATCATATTTACAAATTACAATTTAAAAAATCGTGGTTGTAATACATAAAAAAGATAAAATTTTAGTAAATAGTTTGAAAAAGGATGAAAAATACCTGAACAGCCTGTGGTTCCTCAACCAGTACAGCAAACAAACTATAAAAGACAAACAATATATTTTTCAAGAACCATATACACTAAAATGAAAGATTATTATGCATACCAAAAATAAAACATACCTACAAAGAACCACCAATAATGTTTTCTTTGGCAAATGAAGCTCCATTAATTGTAACCTTTATACGAAATTATGAAAAGATAATAAATATAGGATAAATAATAATTTAATTAAAAAATAACAATTTAAATTATATTCAATAAAAGTACCTGATTGTGAGTATACATTTAGTAGCAGATTTCAGAACAACTTGAGGACAACCATGACGATCCTCGACATCGTCAGAACTCAAACCTTTACAAACATAATTAATGTAGCATTAATTCGGCTGCGTGATTTAGTTTAATTTTGTCGAATCAACTAATAGGTTTATGAACTCGAAAATGGCTTGCTTTGACCAAGAGATAAGAATCCTATTTATTTTAGAGTTGGAGGATTTACACGGCATATAAGAATAATAAAGCAAAAATTTTATTTATTAAGTATTTTATTTAAACAATTAGGGAATGTATCCGAGCCAAAAGCCAAAGCATGTAATGTTGCCAAGTAAGCTTTCGAAGCGTGCGAGACAGACATTTAGGCTCATCACGTTTTGAAATTATATTAAGAGAGGATATGATTATTAGGCATTTGACCAAATTAAAAGACTATATATGTAGCACTTATCATCAAATCTTCACTACAAGACAATTAAGTTTATCTAAGACACTGTCCGTTTGTCTTCCTCACACCCCAGTCAGTATAAATAAACAATTAACCTCGTTCTTCCAAATTGTACATTGAGCAGCAGTAAAATATATACTAGAGTATATACATCCAAATCCTCTTAATACAATGGATATTGTGCTAAAACTAATATTTTTCCTCTATTTGCATTTGTTTTTTACCGTAGATGGCCAAAAAAATCACCGGAAGGATCTCGTGACTGGGCTTCCCGGTCAACCCGACGTAAGTTTTCGGCATTATGCCGGTCACGTCTCGGTAAATAAGAAAAACGGACGAGCACTTTTTTACTGGTTTTACGAGGCCGTAAATTTTACCGGTGAGAAGCCTTTAGTGCTATGGCTAAATGGAGGTAAGACGGATTTTTACATGGAAATATTATGATCGGCTGCATGCTAAAGTTGTTAGCTAAAATTTTGATCTTGCATATTTTTCGCCATTGCGTAATTTCTCTTTTTTTTCGGTGTTATTTAGAAAGGTGACAAAGTGTTTTTGATGTTTAATTAAGGTCCTGGTTGTTCTTCTGTGGGATATGGAGCAACGGAAGAGATTGGACCGTTTTTATTAGTGGGCAGTAAAAATGGGTGTGACTTAAAATTTAATCCTTTCTCTTGGAACACAGGTACGTATTTTTTTTT